AAAAAAAAGATGTTGGTCCATCAGTTGTCAAATTCTACTAAAGTTAGGTACTTTGTAGTAAGTTCCCTAAACCCTTTCCATGGCTACGCTTGGTAATGGTGGTGCTTCGTCTTCTGGATGGTTGATACCTTCTAAAGAAGCACACATGATGGTTGATACTGTATATCCAATTCCATCGCAGCTCCAGGCTTTACTGTCACATAAAAAGCCTTTGTGCTGAAACCAAAGAGACTTGGAATTCCACATTCTGAAATCAAGCCTTGAGGTGACGATACTTATGGGGTGAGAGCCATAGTTAGAAGAGCTTTCTCAGGGAGTTTCAGGAAGCCTGTGGTTGAGGCCAATGCTGGCTCTGTCAATAGCTAACTCTTGGCCTTCGTTTTGGAGCCTTTTTAAACCTGCCTGAATTTTGTTGAAGTTAAATACTTGAAGTCTTGGAGATAAAGTTTCTTGGAGTTTGGATGAAATGATACATGGTTTATGTATCACTCTCCTTTCTAAAAATTGAACTTTAAAATCTGTTAGAGTTAAGACAAAATTTTCTTTAAATCAATGTTTCTCAACTTAATTTCATTCATTATTATTCCCCCATGAAGCCTTTTAGACTTGTTTATTTATTTGTTTAGAGTAAGGGTGCAATGGCACAACCACAGCTCACCACAGCCTTGACCCCCTGGCTTAGGTCCTTAGATCCTCTTGCTTCAGCCATCTGAGTAGCTGGGACTACAGGCATGCACTTCCAAACCCAGTTATTTATTTATTGATTTTTTTGTAGTGACGAGAACTCCTTATGTTCCCTAGGCTGGTCTCAAACTCTTGTACTCAAGCAGTCCTTCCGCCCCGGCCTCCCAAAGTGCTGAATTACAGGTGTTAGCCCCCATGCCTGGTGTCTCTGCTTTATTATAGAAGAGTAATATCTATCTCTGAACTACCTTTTGTTCCCATATGAATAGTATCACCCCCCGAGAATGCATGATTTAAAGTAATTATTCTATTATTCACCTGTCTTTTTGGTTGAGATTTCATAATTCTTTGTTTATTATGATGAACAGTTTGGTGTTTAATTTAATCTTTAAAAAATAACAGAAACATGCTAATCTGTTTTTCTCCCAAATTAACAGAGGAAAAAAAGGAGAGAGGTAGCTGACAAATGTGATCACCATGGAGGTGAGAGACCTGAAGTTCAGACAGATGAAGTGGCATTCAACAACCCCCCACCACCTTCCGGTGAGTGTGCAGACAAGCTGGGTTTGACTAAAGCCCAGTCTTGCTCCTTTTTTTTTTTTTAAGAGACAGGGTCTTGCTCTGGTTCCCAGGTTAGAGTACACTGGCACAATCATGGCTCACTGTAACCTTAATGCCTAGGGGTTCAAGGGCTCCTCTTGCCTTAGCCTCCTGAGTAGCTGGGAAAACAGGCATGTACCACCACACCTAATGTTTTTTAAAAAATTATTTTTGTAGAGACAGGATCTCTCTATGTTGCTCAGGCTGGTCTTGAACTCCTGGCCGCAAGTGATCCTCCCACCTTGGCCTCCCAAAGTGCTATGTAAGCCACCATGCCCAGCTAGACTCCTGTTCCTTCTATGGTACCAAAGGGCTACAGGCAAATTTTCATTACTATGGGCACCACAGGACTTCCAAATTCAGTTTCTTGTAATGGAATTTTGGTAAAGATAACAATGTGTTAGAAAACAAGGACTCCATCTTTAGGATCTAGAAATTAAACAAGACTTGTGTTTAGTCTTTGTGTGGTAAAGTAATACACAAAAGTTAGTGTTCTTTCCTCCTCCTAGTTCCTGAATCCTTTTTGTATGATATTTTCCTTGGGTGGGTCTGGTTATTTTAGTCATGTTGAATGTTTGAGGAGGAAAGGGGAACTGAAATCTTAATGGAAAGACCAAAAATTGTTAGAATGCAACCATCTCACACCTCAGATGTATTCTTCCCATCTACAAAGCCAGCCCACACAGCCAAATTCTTCCATTACAGAGAAGACTGTAATACACACCACAAAAATCCTTTCATGAGATCTTCAGTTTAACAGTTTCCTCATCTGGCAATGGGGTCAATAATAGCATTTCTTCCTAGTCTTACAGTGAGGATGAGGATGACGTAAAGTGATAAGCACAGCGCTTGGTGCACTGTAAGCAATGGATAACTGCGAGTCTTCATTACCAGTATGATTCTTATTGGTGCCCAATGCCAAAGGAGAGTGGCAGCAGAGGAGGCCTCCCTTGGGCCTAGACAAAGTTGTATAGGAGCGGCAATTTGTCTCTGATTTTCTTCCAATCCTCCTTGGCCTTCCCTGGTTTCTTTCCAATGTCAACAACTCACTCAAGCCTGCTTGCTTTTAAAATAACAGTATGGCTGGGCTCGGTGGCTCAGCCTGTAATCCTGTGCTTTGGAAGGCTGAGGTGAGTGGATTGTCTGAGCCCGCGGGTTCGAGACCCGCCTGGGCAACTTGGCGAGACCTCATCTCTACAATAAATCAAAAAAATTAGCGGGGTATGGTAGCGCACGCCTGTAGTTCCAGCTTCTTGAAAGACTGAGGTGGAAGGATCGATCACCGGAGCCCAGCAGGTCGAGGCTGTAGTGGCTGGGAGCAGCCACTGCACTCCAGTCTGGGTGAAAGAGTTGAGACTCCAACTCAACAAAACAACAACAACAACAACAAAAAATAGGATGACACAAAATTCTTTCTCTCTTCATCTCCATGCCCTGATGTTTCAAATTTATGCACTTCACCATAAGGTCTGAATTATTAACAGGTTTAATCCTCCTCAAGATATTTACATCTTAAGAGAAAAAAAGAATTGATAGTCATTTGCATGTGAGAAGATATTTAACAGATGAGCTTTGCAATGGATCTTTTTTTCTTTTTTTTTTGAGACAGGGTCTGGCTCTGTCACCTAGGCTGGAGTGCGGTGGTGCAATCATAGCTCACTGCAGCCTTGAACTCCTGGGGTCGAGCAATCCTCCTGCCTCAGCCTCCCAGGTAGCTGGGAATACAGGCACAGGTCACCACGTCTGGCAAATGAATGCAGAATATGTTGCCCAGGCTGGTCTTGAATTCCTGGCTTCAGGTATTCCTCCTGTTTTGGCCTCCGAAAGTACTGGGATTATAGGTGAGAGCCACCCCTTGCAGCCTCAGTGGGTTATCATCCTTTTCTACTTCTAGGAAATAGGGGCTACCAATGGAGGAATGCTCAGTCTACATGTAGACAACAGAAGTGACGTTTCTATCTATCGTGATCACAAATGTAATGACTTGATTACAGAGAATAATTTTTCCTTGTAATGAGCTTTCGCATTTTTTTCTAGAGTTAAATGCAGATATTATTTTCTTCTGAAGAATGAGGAAAATGAAGACAGGATCTTTGCATTTTTATCTACATTTCTCAGAAAAATTATATTGGAGATGTATATCTAGAAATTTCCTTTCTTACATAATTAAAATTAGTTTTGGCTGCCTTGCTATAAATTCAACCTCAGAAACCGTCAGAACTCATTCCTTTTTTTCCATCACGATTGGGTTCAAACTTTGGAAACATCTTCCTTCTCTACAGAGGCTGGTCACCAAGACCTTCAATGTCTTTGGAAATACCCCTTCCACTATCAGTGCCCTTTCATGGTCTCACACCTATCTCCCACTCCCCTTCAGAACCAGCGTCCAGCTATTCTTTCTTGCATGTCAGCCTTACTGCATCATCATTCCCTCTAAAACACTCTGTTGTCTGTCTGCCATGTTGAGTAACGTTTTCCGCTCAGTTTCAAGTTGCCCCAGACGGTGGTTCAAAGTTTTGTCTTTCACTTTTCTTAAAAATTAATCACATTCTTTGTTCAGGTGATTTTTCTCACCAACCAATGAAGAGGCACTGCTTATTCCTTCCTCTTCCAGTGCATTTCATTCCCTGTACTTGGAAGGGCCAGTTCTGAGCCTTCCACATATAAATATCCTGTCTTTTTCACCAAGCTTTCCTTGACCACTCCAGCTTTTATGCCCACCTGTCTCTTCTTTTTAATTTCTTTTAAGTCAAGTCTTAACTTCTTAAGCTTTATTCACAGCATCCAGTACTGTTATGAGCATAGAATAGGTAAATCTTCCCTGGATAAATAACTGTGAAAAGGCATTTCTAACTTGTAAAAGTTCAGAACCTATTTTGGAGGGTAGAAACAGGACCGGACTGTTGGCCATTCTCAACTGTAGACTTCAGACACTGAACAATAAGCTTTGATAACAAAATGAAAATAATCACTGAGCACAAATAAATTACAACGTCTGACCTTTAGTAACTTATAGATCCTCATTAAAAACCACCAAAAAGCCCATTTGCCGAGGACAGCATTGACCCAGCCCCGTACTTGAATGGCGCGGGCAGGATGGTCTGGTAGTTGTAGTGCTGCTTCTGCTGGCTCAGGATCTGCAGCTGCAGGAAGAGCTGCTGCTGCTGGAGCAGGCGGGCGTAGTTGGAGTCCATCTGTGGCTCGTTCTTCTCACCTTTCTGATCTGGTGGAATGTATTGGTGGTACTTTAACTTCTTCACCCGTGGTTTGGGATCTTTGCACTTTTTGCTACGGTGTTTGTCGCTGGGATTCTTAGGATGGCTTTGCTAGTTTTGAGAAAAAGAAAATAAGAACAGTTAAGGAGCTGTCACCACATGAAATCTATTCTGCTGTATACCTAAATGATCTGAAAGTAAAAATCAATGCACCTGAGGAACGGGTACAACCTCTTTGGAAAGCAATATGCTAAATACATTTCAGAAGCTATGAAAACATTTGCATATTTACTCTGACCAAGACATTTTCTCCTGCTGCATTGCTCCCTTAGGGTATAGGCAAGATGCTCAGTCCAGCAATGTCTATTCAAACACAATACACATTTACCTTGGGTGTCCTGTATAGACACACTGCTAAGCATGTATATACATTATCTCAGTGGAAAACAGGCTGCGCGCTAAAAATACTATGGGGAAAAGATTAAGTATATTTCACTATAACTATATAATATTTTTAAAAATCTGTGGAGAATATGTAAAAACAGAAAAATGATTTCAATGAGAATAAAGCAGAATATAAAACTATCAGTAAGGAAAATAACATAAAAATTAAAATACTGAATTATATGAGTGTGAATTAAAATTTTTTCAAAAGATTACATTTTTATTTTGAAATAGGGAGTGAGACCATATGCGCTCATGTTATGATTGAGAATCAGAAGACTATTTCCTGAGTTCTTTTCTCTTACCAGTCTATAAGTTATCAGATCACTTTCTACTTTTCAGTATTCAGATTATAAAATAATTTCATCTGAAAAAAATCCAAACAAACAAAAAACAAAACATAGGAAATTATTCCTAAACTTCTTTAGGTAACATACACAATTTAATAAAGACTTTAAGAAGTACAAAATTAAATGTAGCTATTGATATGATCATGTTATATATATACATATCCAAAGAATTAGAAAATTTGTAAAAAAGAAAACAAAAGTACCATGTTCTACAGACTAGAAACAGTCACTATTAACATTCTTTTTGACATCCTTCCTTTGCATATGTTAATATTTAATATAATTGGGATGATACCAATTAGAAATGTGCCTTTCTCTCTCTTTGCTTGACATATCATGAATTCTTCATAAAAGAAAGATTCTGCAGCAAGACTTTCATGACTGCATTATGAAACAATCTCTGGATACCGCCAGTGGGGTGTTGGGCCAGCTCTTGCTGACTCATGAGAGCCAAGCATGTGCATCTTCTCCCACCTCTCCACTCAATGGTATCATGTCAATAGCTTGAAACTGGCCACAGTGCAGATATCTCACTCTGACCCCAGGTGATTATTAAACATTTACCAGCATACCACTGGGTATATTGTAATCCAATTAACTAGCAGTCTATTTTTGAAATTTTTAAGTGGGGATTTGTAAAAAGTAAACGTGTATTGGAACTGATTATTCTTGTGAATCTCGTGTCTTCAGACTTGACTTCCAGGACCTGGCCTTCTTTCAGTCCCTTACTGACTCCCATGAAACACACTCGCCCCTCTTAGCTTTCTCCAACACTGATTCATTGTTCACGGTGATTTTGATATTCACATTTACAATCCTCCTAATATTCAAGTGTTTCAGTTCCTTGACTTCAGTTCTTCTAAACATCTCATCGCTCAGCCATTCACTGTGTAGTTGTAAACTAGATCTTATCATTATCAGAAACCGTACCTTCTCACTTCCAGCATCCTAATCTCTGACAACCACCATCTGCTTTGTCAATTCACTCCATCCATCATGCCAACTACAACAACTACTTGATGCCACTGACACCTACAGGCCCTTTCTGTTACTTCCTTTACACTGTTCCTCACTTCCCTTCTTAACTAGCTATGACCCATGGTCCACTCACTTGCATGGACCACCTTTATGAGAAACTCTGATCCAATTAATTGTCTTCCTCAAGTTTCTGACAGTGACTCTACTGACATTATGAACTAGATAATTCCTTGTCATGGGGGCTATCCTGTGAGTTATAAGATGTTCAGTGGCACCTCTGGCCTCTACCTACTAGATGTCCATAGCAACCCTCAACCTCTCTAACCCCTGCACTATGACATATAGAAATGTCTCCAGACATTGCTAAATGTCCCTGAAGCTGGGAGCGAATTTAATCTCTGTTGAGAACCATTGGTCAACTATATGCCTGCACTCATATAACTGAAAGTCACTAGCAGGAAAACAAAAACCATGCTGACAGGTCTCACTTTAAATTCACAACCACTAACTTCAAGGGTTCTTCAGTGCTACCTGGCTATTTTGTTACATTTTTCTAGTTCACTAATTTTCACGCTCTTCTAGAATACTGTCTAATATCTTTTCTTCTCTCCTCAAATTTTTTTTTTTTGAGTCGGGGTCTCATGCTATTGCCCAAGCTGAAGTACAGTGGCACAGTCACACTTCACAGCAGCCTCAACCTCCTGGGTTCAAGGAATCCTCTTGCCTCAGCCCCTGAGTAGCTAGGAGTATAGGCATATGCCACCATACCCAGCTCATTTTTTATTTCTTTTGTAGAGACAAGGTCTCATCTTGCTATGTTGCCCAGGTTGGTCTCAAACTCCTGGGCTCAAGCAACCTTCCTGCTTTAGCCTCCCCAAGGTACTGGGCTTACAGGTGCAAGCCACTGCACCTGGCCTCAAATCTTTAATACTCTTCATCCTTACTGTCAACTGATGACCTCATTGCCTAAACCCTGAGAGCATAAAAGTGGTCAGCACAGGGCTTCCACACACTGTGAGTGCTTGCCTGAACCTGGACTCCATGCAGCTTTCCCTCCTCTGGCTGTGGCCCAACTGTCTCAGGCCAGCCCCTTCCCTCCTGAACTAGCTTCTGTGTTCCCTTGTACATGCACAGTTATTGGTTCCAGCAGTCCTTGCCCCTCTCCTGGATCATTCCCATTAGCTTGCAAACAACCTTCTTTGACTCCAATTCCAATCAGGCTAGACCCATTTCTGCATGCTCTTTTTCTAGCAGACACTAAAACAAACACCTTTCTAGTAACACTATCTCAGGCTTCCCCTTCAATTTCTTTTGTACCCACACCAACCAAGTTTTCAGAAACTGTTCTTGTCAAGGTCACTGTGCTTCAACATAGCTAAACCCAAGTCCAGTTCATTTGATACAGTTGATCTCGCCCTCCTCCTTGAAATGTTGCCTTTGGCTTCCGGACTACCACACTCTCACTGGCTGTTTTGCTGAGTCTTCTTTGCTGGTTCTTCCTGTCTCCCTAAAATGTTGGAGGTTTTCAAGGACTTAGTTCTTGCACTACTTCTTTACACTTAAACCCTCGGTAATTTTACTGGGTTCCATGGCTTTAAATGCCACTTATACACTGAGGACTTCCAGGTTTCTCTTTCCAGTCTAGATCTCTCTCCAGGTGCCTCTGGGACATCTCCACGAGGTGTCCACTAAGCATTACAGGACATGGCAACTCCAAATTTCTAGTTGGTTAAACACAAAACAATAAACTGGTTTTCAATTTCTCCTTTTCTCCACACCGCATATCCTATCTGTCAGCAAATCCTGCCAGTTTAGCCTTCAAAATACAGCCAGAATCCAATCACTTCTGCTACCTTGACTGCTGCCACTGTTTCCTGCCGTGGACTACACCTTCAACTGGCCTCTCCTTCTACCTTTGTGCCCCTACTGTTTCTAACACATCAGCCCAAAACCTTCTAGAAGCTGCTTCTCTTAGTGGCAATACAAAACCTAACTTCTGACAAGACTCTACTGGCTCTCATCTCTGGTCACACCCAGGTTGCATGGTCTACTTTTTACCCTTTAGCTATCTCTGTCCAAGTCACACTGACTTTCTTGTTCAGAGACTTCAAATTTTCTTCCTTTATGTGGAAGATATCCTCATGGTTCACACTAAATGTCATCTGCTTATTTTACCAGACTACTCTATTTAAAACAGAATCAACTCCCCCTGTCTTGCCAGTAACCCCTACCTCACAGTAGTCACCACTCAGCACACTCTGTATTTGGTTGTCTGCTTACCCTATGGGTAGGGATGTGTGATGTTTTCTTCATTGCTTTATTTATTCCTAGTACCCAGAATAGTGCCTGGTACATAGAAAGTGCTTAATAAGTATCTATTAACAAATGAATGCAGAATATGTATGCTGATTAGAAATCAATCACTTTAAATATCAGGTACTGAAGTACATCTCCATGTTAAGAAAACACTCTTGCTTGCTTAAACGTACTCCTATAATCTCACGATATTAATCAATTCAGTGTCATCTAATTATTTTGTTGTTAGCAACGCATTTTATTTTTAGTTTTTTCAAAATGATCTAAGAATGCACAGGGTCTGGGATAATTTATACTCAAAATAACATTCTAGCATAATTATTATGGAATGATAAAACAATGGATCCAGCCACCATCAAGAAGGCACCTGATGGAGGAGGGAGGGCGACATAAACATAATGACCAGTATTCTGGAGACTAACTCTGTTATTACCTATCAATTAGCGCATGCCTATTCTCTCAGTAAGTGAGAATGGGAAATAGCTTTCCTCATAGAAATAAAAACAAAAGAACTGTGGTCTATATCCTAATACAGTATGTTCTTGTCTTTTCCTCTCTTGGCATAGTCCTGGGATTCTCTGACCAACTCCTGAATTTCATGTTCTTAAACAATGTTTCTTCCCCTAGAATCAAAGTCTTCCTTAAAAAAAGAATACCAATGAAGAGCAGAAATTCAGAGAATGGAAGGGCAGAGAACCACTTTGCAGGATCAGCAGGGAAAGACAGGTTGGCATTCAGACCATCTGTGCATCAGTGGTGCATGCTTGGGGGTGTTGGAAGAGGAAGTAAGAGCTGATTTTATTGGTACAGTTGCTACCTGCCACTCTCTAGAATTTCTGGCTCCAACTCTAAGCAGTGGAAGATGGTGAAAAGCATTGATGTTCGTCCTGAAGCCACAAACACTCAGCCACAATGACAAGAGTTTCTCTCCAGGAAGATCAAGGACAAGGACAGTTCCCATGGATAGATGGAAGTGTAGACTACACATGATGCTAATCTGAAGACTAGACTGGAATTTGGGAGATTATGGCCCTTCCTGGTTTTTCACTTCTTAAGAGTCCTAGTCTTCTTATCTGAAAGGTAATGAGAAGCTAGCTAACTGTGATGTCCTTTTGTAGTATATTCTGTTAGCTTTGGCAAAAGTCACCTCTGAAATTATTAAACTATTCCTTAGCTTACCTTTCCCACCGATTTTGTTTAGACGTTCTAAACACAATATTAAGAACTTTAAAAATGTACTGCATATTGTACATTTTAATCTTCTTTGGGATTAATTCTAACTCAACTATTTCAACCAAGTAAAGTGCAGGTACAGTGCTACAAATCTGAAGTTTATCTGAAGAACAAACCAAGATGCATCTGGCCAAATCTGCTAAGTCAGAAAACACGTTTGCTTCTTTAAACTTTTAACCTGTCAGGTAATATATCTGGAATACCACTGAGTTTGATCTTGTGTATAGAATACAAAACTATGTGACCATCAAAGACATCATCTGTGAGGTTCCCGAACCTCAAGTGCTGTGTTGAAGCAACTCTGCCTTACTCTTGTTTTTCACCTATTTCATCTAAGTGGCCTAGGTGGCAGCAGAGTTGGGAACTGTTGATATTTGGACCACATTTCATGCTATTTCTCTGTGACAATAGAACAATTTGTTGAAGGTGGCAGTTTCAAACATGAAGGCTGTGGACTAGCAAGTCCTCCCATGGTTTGGTTTTCAAGGCCACTCAGATACATGCCTTTGGCTTCTGTTCATAGGGCTATCAACAGTCACAGGGAAGCCATTCAACCAGTGCACTTCCAGAGTACCCACCTTCACCAGCGCGGGGCCAGGCTTTGCCGAGGACACAGTGTTTGTGGGGAGGACAGGAACTGTGGGCCTTGGGGGAGGCTGATCTGCAGTCAGAGGACTTTTCAAAAATTCAGGAACTGCTGGGGACACTGAAGCAAACTGGTGGAAAAAGCAGAAAAGAAACACATCTGTGAAATTAATGACCATAAAAACAGAAAAACTGGAATGACAAGGAATGACTTAATTTTATAAAAAGTCCACTAGTGCCGGGCTCGGTGGCTCAGCCTGTAATCCCGCGCCTTTGGGAGGCTGAGGTGAGTGGATTGCCTGAGCCCGCGGGTTCAAGACCCGCCTGGGCAGCGAGACCTCATCTCTACAATAAATCAAAAATCAGCTAGGCGTGGTAGCACGTGCCTGTAATCCCGGCTACTCGGAAGGCTGAGGTGGAAGGATCACCAGAGCCCAGCGGGTCGAGGCTGCGGTGGCTGGGAACGGCCACTGCACTCCAGTCTGGGCGATGGAGTGAGACTCCAACTCAAAAAAAAAAAAAGTCCACTAGAAAAGAAGCAAAGAAAAATATACTATTATGTCTGAGACCCAGATGATAGAATATAATGCTTACCTCAGTGGAGCCAATTATTTAGTCTTTGCCCAACAGCAATGAACAGTTAAAGCTAAATAAGGTTAAACTGAGTAAACTGTAGTGTTTCTCAGAAGTATAGTCAGAACCACCCTTTTTGGCAGGAAAAAAGCTTCCTGTTTTACAAAACTCTTGTAAAGATGGTCAAAACAATACATGGTACTCACAAGGTTCCCTTATAGGTGATGCTAACCCTGACTAATTCCTACGTGATAGACTTTCTTACAGAGCCCGGGCCCACGGGGAGGCAGCAACTCTACTGGATGCCAGCTCCAACACATGTTCTCAAATGAGCTTTATAAGTGATGTTCCTATCTCTGAACCCAACTAGCACTCTCATTTACCATATCCCCCTCAATTTCCTGCCACAGGAGAAGATCTGAAGAATATATTCTGATAAGACTGACTAGTTTCATTGAAAGTGCTACCTCACTTAAAACAGGAAGCTGCTTTGCTACCCAGGACCAAATCAACAATCTCTCAATCTCAATTTGGAGTCAAAGATCATCAACAAAGGAAGTTACAGAAGACTTTGCTAGGTTTTATCAATTCTCACTAGCAATCTACTCTAAATAGATCTTACTGAAAAGAGATATTACCATTATAATAAACGACAAACGTTGTGTATTGATTACTCCTTGTATTTATTACTAGCCTTATCTTAACTCATTCGCGACCACTGACGTGAATTTACATCATTCCAAATTCTGTTCCTGGTTGTCGCTGACATGATTTTACCTCAGCATGGAAGATTGTCTTTTGGGTTTATAATCTGAATAAAAAATACAAAGTACAGAATGCCAGTCAGAGTGGTGTTTGAGGCATATACTGGATGTGTCTGCATCTTTTCACTGCATTGTGAAAAAGGAAACAATTTAGGAAAGACTATTTTACTTGTGCTTAACAACAACCAGCTTCAGATTTTTTTTCCACCCCATCTCAGTATTAGGAAAGTGAAAAATTTGCTGGTTGTGAGTGTGTTAAGGAAAAATGTTTTCCTTTATCACTTCCTGAACAACCCTCAAATTCATTATGCCAACAAAGTCAGTTCTCTTGTTGAAGTATTTGGGTTTTAAAACAGCAAACTGCATTTTTCCTCTTTAAAATAAATGACCTGAAAGCTCAGAAGACTATCAGTGGCAAGAAATATGAAGCCTGGCACATACTAGTTACTCAATAAATATTTGTTTAATTGATGAACAGGCATTCCTTCTGGCTTAACTCATGCCAACGCCACATTCTCAAGCCCAGTTGACACTGGGTGTGCAAGTACAATTAATCGTCCATGCCCATGACAGCTCTCTCCCTGGGGTTTTTGCCATTGATTTCAGCTTTTAAGTAATTATTAGTAACTGTAAGTGCTGACAATATAAAAGACCATACTTTGAAAGATGGCTGTACTCAATTTCATTTTTAAAAGGAAGTGAAGGGAAAGGCCTCATCAAAGAGACTTGACATCTGTGGTCTAGGTTGACTTCTGTCCCCAAAGAGCCCTGAGATGTTAGGCTCTTCAATGAATCTCTGACCAACCAAGCCTCATGCACGAAGTGAAAGACATTGCTAGCTGATCACTTCTTCCCTGGATATGACTTTATGTTATTTGCTTTCCTTTCACCTTACATAGTTTTGGAAATGGGGATACTTGGTCAATTCTCACAGAGGGGGAAAAATAGTGCTTGGCTATTATATGACAGGTATATGGAGCAGAATCAAATGTTTGCATTTGAACTGTATACACACACACACACACACACACACACACACACACACACACACACTATATTTGAACTATATATATACTATAATATATATTCCCTTGCAGATAAATTCTATTAACCTGGCAAGCTATTTTACCACTTGAGCCCTCACTGACTGATGATAGTAATGATTACATTAAGAGCAGTAAGCGTTAATAACCTGAAAAATAACCCAGAAGCATGGACATAGTATCAACTGTAAAATTTATGAAAATGTTTGCCTAGATTTCTGGGTTGTACCTAATTAATTTTAGCCTTGATTACAGATATTCCCATCTTATTAGCTTTTTCTGTATTTCAGTGTGACTTTGCTACCTAGAAAACCACAGGCTCCAGGCTCCAGCATAATGCAAGAATAACCCAACTGAAATGTAGCAATTGTTAATGCTACCTAATTTGAGATTAGATTCTGGTTAAAAAGGGAGAAGTATCTAAACTCCTCTGTATATTTTGCTAGTCTTTTAAATGTGCTTAGAATCAAAAAACAAACTTCCCAAAAAAACCTACTTAGACCATATGTAGGTGTTAGACACCTAGTTGCTAAAGTTACCACAATAATCTAAATATTAGTAATTCTGAAGTAACAGTATTCCAAAAAGGATTAAAAGAGTGTCCAGTACATAAATGATACTTAAACTTATTTTGTTCCACAATAAATTGAGCAATATTTAAAAATCTTAAAGATTTATTATGTAAATTGTCACTGAGACCCAAATTAACTTTATGGTCTATAAAAACCTAATTTCAAAATAATTCAGAATCATTTGTTACCTCAAGGAAATAAAAGGATTGTCTTATTGGGTCTGATCATTGTTCCCATTACAGGTTATGGGTCTCATGAACACCAGGTCTTTAATTTTCATCGTAAACCCATAAAATAAAATGTCAGAAAAGGGCTGTTTAGTGATGGATATTTATGCTTTAAAAAAAAAAAAAAAAATCAAGCTGGGCTCGGTGGCTCAGTCTGTAATCCCGTGCTTTGGGAGGCTGAGGTGAGTGGATTGCCTGAGCCCGTAACTTAGCGAGACCTCATCTCCACAATAAATAAAAAAAATTAGCTGGGTGTGGTAGCATGCGCCTGTAGTTCCAGCAACTTGGAAGGCTGAGGCAGAAGGATTGTCGGAGCCCAGCAGGTCGAGGCTGCAGTGGCCGGGAGCAGCCACTGCACTCCAGTCTAGGTGACAGAGTGAGACTCCAAATCAAAAAAAAAAAAAAAAAAAAAAAAATCAAAAGAAGCAATTTTCAGTCTTAAAGACTGGACATTTCTCTTACTAGAAATTGCTACAGGAAATTTCTGCCATAATAAAAAAATAAAAAAGCAAGCTGATTAAGTTCTATATCATTTCAGGTGTCTGCACTAGTTCCTTCTGAGGAACACAGTGTACTTGTCAAGAATCAGTTGTTGTTCTCAGGTAAGTTTATCTTACTTATTAGCATTTCTTTATACAGTCTTGAAGAATAGACACTAGATATTTAAAAACAATGGTTTTTTAAATTGTAGATTTTAAATCTACAATAAATATATTTTAAATTTAGGATGCAGCAGAGTTTTAAATTAAGGTGGCAATATGCAAATAAGAAATTCAAAGTGTAATCACTTTTAAAATATTGTTTCCATATTCTAATCCCCAAACAAATAAAAGGAACGATAGAGTTGAATACAAACCAAAGACATGTACTATATGTTTAATAGATGAATATTTTATGTAAAATTCTAGCATTGTATCATCTTGCATTGTTCATTTGTTTCTGTAATATATAAGCTTTTCATTTTTAGAACAATGCTCTAAAACACTGAAAGTGAATTCATTTCTTGGCACAAAATCTAGTGGATATTCAGATGGTACTTGATTATCTGATTGGTAGTGAGGATTTGCATGTATACCTGCTTAAATAAGTACATTTTAAAATTATCATAAGGTATACAGAACACAAAACCTATCATTTTAACCATTTTAAGTATATGGCATTAAGCATATTTCCATTGTTCTGCAACCACCACTATCAGCATCTCCAGACTTTCTCATGTTCCCAAATGAAATTCTATACCCATTAAACAACATCTCACCATTTCCCTTCCCCTTGGCCTCTAGCAACCACCATTCTATTTGCTGTCTCTATGATTTTAACTACAAGTATCTCATATAAGGAGACTCATACAGCATATTTCTTTTGTGTTTAGCTTATTTCATTTAGCATAATGTTCAATTTTCATCCATGATGTAGCATATTGCAGAATTTCCTTCCTTTTTAAAGGCTCAATATTTCATTTACATATATAACACATTTTGTTTATCCATTCATCTGTCAGTAGACATTTAGGTTGCTTTCACAATTATATATATATTGACTGAGAACTCACCCCCAAGATAGGGCATTCCTGAGGGATCTGCCCCCCCCATCCCCTGTCATGATTCAGACATCTCCCATTAGGCCCCAACCCCAACAATGAGGATCAAATTTCAACATGAGGTTTATAGAGGACAAACATCCAAGCCATAGCAAATCCTTTTCAGATATATGATTTGCAAACATTTTCCTCCCATTTTCTGGTTTGCTCTTTACTCCATTGATAATGTTTTCTGGTGCACATTTTTTTTTTTTTGAGTTGGAGTCTCACTCTGTAGCCCAGACTGGAGTGCAGTGGCACACTCCCGGCCACTGCAGCCTCAACCAGCTGGGTTCTGGCGATCCTTCCGCTTCAGCCTTCCCAGTAGCTGGAACTACATGCACGCGCTACCATGCCCAGCTAATTATTTTAT